ACACCTGAAGGAAAGAAGGATTCGTCGCTGTCTGACTTTTAGTTCACTGGTCAGCCACTCAATACACAACACATACTGAGCTAATGGCGTGGTCTGCTATAAAGCGTCAGTTGGCAGCCTTCCAAGCCAAGATTTTTAGAAAAAGAAGACCTGATAGCCTCAAGCTCTGATCACGCATGCAGCGGAAGGGCCATATGTATAAGGGGCCAAGGAAGATACTCCCCTCTGATATATTCATTTTATTTGACTCGTCGACCCGCTAATATAGTTATTTAGCTCACATCCTTTGGTTTTCCACTAAACGTGGGTCTGTGGGGAGATCCAGGAAAGATATACGACCCGTCTGCGCGTACAACACACTAGTTAGTTTACACATGTTTGCATGTTCAAGGCAACAATGAGGATAACACGAGTCGCGCATCTGCGAAAATGTCTGTATCGGATAGAAGAACTACATTCATATAGGCTGAAATGACAGTTTCTGGGTTTTGTTTTGTCGAGTCCCAACGACATACCGAGAAGACCCGGAATTTCACAGGCATATGACAAGTGCACCATATGGTGCTTGGTTATGTGGCATATTTCCTATAGAGAGCCCAAACAGACTTACGCGTCCGTGGTTCGTAAGTGTGTGAGAGGACGTTGGATGTCGGAACAAGCTTTTTTATGTGATGGAATATGTGGTTTGGGTAAATTTGAAAGACACAAAACGATACAAAGATGCAAAACTTTGAAGTGCAAGCAGTGTGCTACCACGAGCCTGGGACACCTGTGAGACTGCAGGAACAGGATTCTGGTTATGCATATTTGCTAGGCATTTTAATTGAAATTAGTTGCAGGGAGCCAAACATTTTGATAAGTAGGGAAAGGCTATATTTTACTGCCTTAAAAACGGTTATATTGTATTGTGTAGGGGACTAAATTACTCCCGTTCAAGTACACTAAATCCCAAAGATTTCTTCAGAGTGACAATCTAGCCTGGATGTTCTAATTACGGGTCACATTTCCGTATCCCTTCTATTTCAATTTATCTACTTTCTCCGCTGGAATTATGAGTAAATGCACTGTCGAGGCTTTCTGTCATCATTCATTTAGGCCAATTATAGCCTGAAACCTCTGATTCATCGCTCAAAACCGTCGGGCCTGTAGATGAAATTGGAGAATCTGTTAGCCTATCCATTACCTGTCTGTCTGTGAAACGACGACCTTCTTTTACTAGCGGAGCAACGTAGTTTTGCGGGGAAATCGACTAACGTGCCCTCTGATTATAATAATGACCAAAACCCCCTAGCTATCCACCTTCATATTAGCTTCCCTGACTGTTTCATAGAATACTTATGCTCAATGCGGACCAATTTTCCACTGTACAGTAAGCGTCCCTCCAGTAGTCCGACCAGGGCATGAGAGCCACACCATTAATCAACTCTGCCTACATACCCAAAGGCAGTAACAAATCTGAAGACTACGCCTAGAATCTTAACCGCCCGTATTCAATTTAGCTCTTTTTAGTCTTCGCAAAATTACCACAGACTCGAACCAACTTTGTGACTTTCACCTAAGTTGTGATCTGCTGCGTGTATCGGAAAACGAAGTACCGATTTACACACTGGACACGTGTTTTGCTGCAAGTCAGCCTACATGATTGCCATTCTTTAGCGGACGTGGGCCGTTCGCAAAACTTATGCATAATTTGCCCGGAGAACAGCGCATTCGCACCAGGGCCGGCTTCTCTGATGCAAAGAACTGCGCATCTCGAACAACTGCTGCTTTCCGCTTGAAGTTTGAACTCCAACGGTGGCACCATGGCTAGACGATAGCTAGACCGTTGAAGCTGGAGGCATTCCGGCTGGAAAGCGAGCCCTGGGCGTGAGTACAGCAAGGAAAGACCACGAGGTCCAGGCTCTGATTAGTTTTGGTGAAATAAAAGATGGAGGAGATGTAATCAAAACTTGGGGTGCTTGTAAAATCCTGTGTGCAGATGGCTGGTGCACACGCATAGCAACAGACTTCTTTATAATTGTCAGTTCCCGTAGCCACCGCTCGATGTCTTTT